ACCCCACACTGTCATCAAAGCTCTGCTGTCATCCCAGTCCCTTTGATGAGGACAACACATCTTCCACAAGCTCCTTCTTTATCCTTGTCTGATTTTTCTGCCCAGCTCTTTCTTAAGAACAGAGAGAGATCAAAAATGCATTTCAGAGAGGTTTTTAGTCATTTGATCTGAAGCCCACTGGAATTCTTTCACTGGTCTCAGATAGGACTTTTGCTGGGTGTACAAATAATGTGCTACCTCTTGAGATCCCATAAGGAGTTTTGCTCAGAGCACAACCATACATTGCCATGAATGTGGCTTCCACCGAGCTAGCCCACATCTCATTCCCAGTGAGTGGTCCCTGTGTCAACTGTCCTTGAAAAAAGTTGTGATTTGGGTAAATGTACATGCCACATGCAAGGCAGTCACACTAGTACAAATGTAGAGTACACATTTTATTTTTATATAGTTAGAAATTTATATGTAAGTATAAATTAAAAATACAAGCATTTAGCAATCTGTATACTTTAAACATATACACACTTAGGTTTATTTTTTGGGCAACCCAGGCCATAGGCTGCCAAACTACACACATCATAATATGTTTTTTTGTATGAGACCCTCATGTTTAAAAGCCATGAAGTGTCTTTAAACTCAGAGCTGACTCTGTATTAAAAGATATGGGGCAAACCAAGCAGGAGTTGTAGGCTCTTCTGGAATACTCCATGAGCTACTGTTGAGTGCAAAGTGTTGTGGCAGTTCGTGATACTATTTGCTACCTTTAGAATCACGTTTCTGGTACAAACTCTCATAACTGAGCATTGGGAATAACTTGTTTCCCTTCATCACGAACTGTGCTCCACAGACATCAGTATTTCACCCTCAGCTCCCTTTTCTGAACTACTACCTGGAATTTATTTGTTTAGGTCTGGAGCCAAAAGGTTGTTATTAGACAAGTGAAGCTCTTACGCAAACACCCTACTAATTTCCATAGGGGATCTACCTGGACCAGGAGTGTAGGCTTTGATCCACCACAAGCGACAGGAAAGGGCAGAATCAATTACAAATTGTTCACCTCTGCTTTACTAACCTCTAAACTTTGGAATTGGAGGTGAGGGGTGTGAGGGAGGATCAACAGCCATCTGCAACAACTACCACTTCTGAAGGAAGGCAGAAATGGAGGGTGAGCCTGTCCTGGATGGCAAGCTTGCAACTGTACTCTCAGTGGTGCTGGAGATGCCCTGGCCATGCAAAGCGTATCACCCATAATACATCTCCAAAGGTTTCACAGAGGTCAAAACTACACCTACAAACCTGGTAAAGAACCAAACTGCTTCAGTGGCATTACAGTCCCAGGTTGAGTGGAGAGCAGAAGGTAATTTTTGCTTCTGCCAACCCCTTGGGACTTGGGACTAGTCGCCCATCCTCTCTCTGCCCTACTCTTCTGTCTGTAAAATGAATTTCCATTTTCTTCCCATTAAACAGGAGGAGAGGAAGAGAGACTTGTAATAGAAGGGTGTAAATACATAATCACACTCTGAAAAACACTCAGAAAACTATGGATTTAAATTTTTTTTGGCTCAAACAACCTTTTCTTGAGTAGTAAATGTTTAATTTCAACATCCTGTAAACAAACTCCTTTGACTTCATAGAAATGCTTTGTTTAGGTGTTTATCTGAAGTTTATGCTTTCAGATGGTTGCTGTGGTTTAACTATGACAAGAAATATTTTCTGCTGAGGCAAAGCAAAATGTTTGCTTCACTTAACAGGACTGTATTGTCACATTTTTGTTTGTTTCTACTCATATGAAAAACCCATCTGCAGAGCAGCTCCCAGTGAATGTCCCTCTTTCCTCCAGTTTTACAGTTATGCCAACAAGTGGCAGAAGCAGCAGCACAGAACTTCAGGAGCCATCAACCAGGTGTGCACAGTCCTTGTACAACAGGAACTAGGAGAAATTCACAGTTTTACTGAGATATCAATAGGATGATTAAATTAAAACACAAGATCATAAAACGGTGGTTCCTAGGTCACCGCTATTAAGCAAAGTCATAAAAAAGTGTATAGACAATCAGTGTTACTCATTTTAATGTTTTTAGTCTAAATTTAAAATGTTGGGTTATTACACAAACAGACAATCTGGTTTTTTATTTCTCAGTGATGTCAGGGCAGTGATAACCTACCAGGCTGTAGGAAAGGTAAGGATGGCTCAGAGCTCAAGAGCTGAAAAGAGGTTAAAATGAAAGGTAAGGGGAAAGGTCAAGGGGCAGCTTGCAGAGAGCATGAGAGTGTGAGGAAAAAACACATTAATTTTCCATGCATTGCTTTTCCCACTTGCAATTTAAACACTTAATAAGCTTTCCTCAAATGTTAGGGAAATCATAGTTCCTAGCTGCTTATCTAGAAATTGTAAATAATATCATAACATTTTCAGGCAAAATTTATTAGATAGTTTTGTATCTGTGGAAGATATTTTCAATCCTGAACTCTATTTTTGAAAGACATAGGAAGATATGAAAAATAATAACCCCTGATACTGGAATTCTAGGATTTTTCCTTTCTTTTTTTTTTTTTTTTTTTTTTTTTTAACCCTTTCCTACCAATCTTTAAACATAGTAGAGATGTGTGTGTGTGTGTGCGCGCGTGTGTTCATTTTAGTCTATGCCTATGTAGAAAGGAAATATAAGGTTTTACTGAAAAATTTCTCATGTAATAATGTCATTTTGCGGGATTTATTTTTCCCTTTCAGAGGATAATCTGATCTATTTGATGGCAGAAGACCCTCTGCTGGAAATGTCTGAAAAAATGCATGGGGCAGCATCTGTAGTGATTAGCTAAGGGTAATGAAAAACAAGTTTTCCTGCAAGCCAGAGCCCAGTCCCTTCCATACTTCAAACACTATTTTTAAGAGATCAGCGTGCACTGTTGCACAATTTGTACTAAAATAATCCTGTGGGAATATGTTAGGGTTCAATCACAAAATACTGAATACATAAGACAAGTCTTCACTGCCCTCGCAAGCAAAAAAGCTTCCCTTCCAGCTGGTGCCTGATCCTGCACCTCACACACTGGGGTGCCGGATGGGTACTCAGCTGGGCACAGCATGAACACATGTCACTGCCCAGGTCTGGCAGGCAAGATGGAGGTTGCAGTAGCTTTTTTTTTCTTGCTTTCCATGTGGGCATGATTGCCATGGCTGGAACTGCTGCAGGATCCACGGGCTGAGAGGAGGGATGGAACATCCTGTCCCATGAGGAAAGACTCGGAGAATTGGGGGACTTCAGCCTGGAGAAGAGAAGGCTCCACGGAGACTTCATGGCAGCCTTTTGATACTTAAAGGGGACTTAGAAGAAAGATGGGGACAGGCATTTTAGTAGGGCCTGTAGCAATAGGATAAGGGGTAATGTTTTTAAACTAAAAAAGGCTAGATCCAGACTAGGTAGAAGGAAGAAATTTTTTACAATGAGGGTAGTGAAACACTGGAATGTATTTCCCAGAGAGGTGGTAGATGCCCCATCCCTGGAAACTTTCAAAGTGAGGTTGAATGAGGCTTTGGGCAACCTGACCTAGTCGAAGATGTCCCTGCTCATTGTAGGACTAGATGATCTTTCAAGGTCCTTTCCAACCTAAACTATGATTTTATGACAGCAGCAGGAGGATTCAGTTGCAAAGAAGGCACCTGTTGCAAACATTTGCACACAGAAATACCATGACGCAGGGCATTTCATGGTTAGTTTCACATTTTAAAGAACAAGAGACATTATCTGAATGGGTTTAAGTAACAACACAGTTGTGAACTCAGTATGCTCCGAAGGTTTAAGTAATATAAACCTACAACATGACATTCATAGTAGCCCTCTAAATAATTTTGTTTATAGCAATTAATTCACAGGTGTAAGGTATTTGCTAATGTAAACGGTTTTCATGTAATTAAAGACCACAGTTCAATACCTGAGCTCAGGAGAGCAATTATGGTCCCAATGGCACACAAAATCCTCAATGTGAAGAAAAAAATGTCTTTGCAATGCTTTATCCTGCATATGGCAAACCCAGGCAGACAATAAGCAGAGAAAATACCCATGGTACCCTGATCCACTGGCTTGTATATCTTAGCTCTGTCCCACCATGATGCCAGAATTTAGCAGGGACCATGGGGTCTGTTGCACTGACTGGCAGCATCCTGTTCCCCATGTCTGTGGGTTCCTGTAGGCATACTTGCCGTGCTGGGGGAAGGGGCTGCCTCTGTAGCCTGGACCTGCACAGGTGTGGGCAGCAGGGGCAATGAGGGTGGGGAGCAGCAGTGGGGCCAGTGGAAAAGCAGTAGCATGGCCCCTGCTCTGCTGGTTGAGTCCAGCACTCCCTCTGCACTTGAGGACACTGTGCTGATGCTGGCCCCTGCAAAAAGTGGTGGCTCTGACCTGATGGTCCCACTTTCTCCTTGTGCCAGAGCTACCAAGCATGTGGCTACACCAATAGTCAGAGCAACGAGCTGATCTGGCAGAAAAGTAACGGAGTAAACCCAAAGCTTCATTTTCAATCAAACCAGGCCTCATATCCAGTTCAACAAGGAGTGACACAAATACTGCAGAAGAAAAGAGACAATGACTACCAGGGGAAAGGAAGGGCCATTTATTTTAGCAGCAGCACCACAACATCAGCATGAAGTGACTTTTTGATTCCTCATAAGGGAATAAATGACCCTCTGCAATCTATGGATGGGTCATGCAATGTAAGGACAACAGAGCAATAACATTAGGGATATTGTGATGGGCTCCTTAATGATCTGGATTCATTTGGTAACTGGTTCATCTCCAATTCACTGCAGTATGTCATCAACTCACCCACACACCTTCTTTCCTTATTTAACCCACAGAGCTATTCCTCCCTTGCCTACAAGGGACAAAAACCCAACAAGTGGGATAGAAGTTTAAGAAAAAATAGTATTTATTTTAGTTTAATGGAAAGTAAACAAATGAATTCCAGTTTGAGTAAAGCAAAATTGCCTCAACACATAAAGCCAACCTGTTTTCAATGAATGTCCAATCTGAGATTCCCTAGTGCTGACAGTTCTGTGAAACCTGTATAAACAGAGAAAATGGAGCTGAATATAAACAGTTCTGCAGCACTGTCCTGTACAGTCAATAAAATGCACTTACACATGAAACATCTATTGAAATACTCTCTGCTGCTTTTAGTTTTCCCAGAACAAGGTTGGAATTTCTGCAAACACATTCATTTTCATGTCCCCATTCAGGGTCCTGAAGCCCAAACCTCTGCTGAGGGCAGGGCCAGCTGTGAAGCTGGGTCTGTTTTCAGTGTTAGGCCAAGTTGCCCAGGGCCCTCAAGCATTTCAACGCTTGGGGATACCATCTCTTTGGGCAACAATGCTGGACAGAAGCTCTGACAAAGGCACTTCAACTATTACATAATCCATTCAGAGGCGAAAAGGACAAAGAATATAGAGAGCTCTGGGACAAAATTTTGAGTTTATACACTTAAACCAGGGCTGTCAGTGGGTGTTTCAATCCAGACTGGTGCCAGCCAGTGTGCAGGAAGGCATCCTGGCCTGTGAAAATCTAAGAAACTTGATTTTCCAACCAGCTACTGCTTGTGTTAGCTGGTGGCAGACTGGGAGATCTGGAGCTCCCTTTCCCTCCTCAGCTCCATCACTTGTGCCTGAAGTCAGCTTGTAGCTTGAGCAGCCACTGGGCTCAGCTGCTTGACCCTTTCCCTACCACCCTAAAATGTTATCTGGGAGGCGCAGACCATGCTTCAGCTACTGGCGTGAACATGAGGTGAAAGCTGCTATGCTTTTGCCTTTTCCAGCTGAATCCTTTGTTGAAGAGCATCTGGTAGCACACACCAGTGTCTCACCACCCCCTGGAGAAACACCTCACCCAGCAAGGAAAGCGACAGGGGATTGCCTTTAGTTTTCAAATAAGGTTTATTTAGAGAATGTTTCAAAACGGACATCAAGGTGGTGGGTTTGTCATAGGCATGATGCAAGGAGAATCCAGAAGTGAGGTCTAAAAATGCAGGAGAAGGAACTGAGAATTAAGAAACTGGAGTAAATACTGAGGTGTGCAGCCTTGTTTCCAGCTAAATCAACAGGGACTCTGTCGTTGGATTCAGTGAAGCCAGACTTTTAACTCAAGCACCAGTGGTGCCAGGGGAAGGGATAGCACAAAGATTTTATTATCCAAATAAACAGGGTGATACAGTTTCTTCAACTTATTTCAAACTGGAGGCTGATGTTCAAATAATTAAAAGGATGTTATGCATCGGTCATCATGATCTGTGACTCATGCTTTTCACAGTTCAATCAAGTTGCCTTTAAATCAGTCAACAGACTTCTCACTGATTGCTGGAGCATGTCAGGGCTTCCCACCTGTTTCAAGAGAACATTTTACAGGCATGCCCTGTTCTCATCCTCAAGGTCTTTTAACGCAGCTTTCTCTGCAAACCTAGCCCAGCTGTACTGAGCTTGTAAGTCTTCAGAAATGAAAACAACATTTATGGTAGCAATGAGATATTAAAAAGTAATTAAAAACAAAGAATTGACTGCTTCTGTAACTCCTTATAGGTCCCTTGTCTGCAGTGGAAAGCTTTCTGAGGGGTCCATTTCAAGCTCAGCAACAGCTGCCATACAGAGGTTGAACACAGTAACCAAAAGCAAAAGTTTTCCTTTTGCTAACAAGAGATTTTGTAACTGCTGCTTCTTCAAGTTAACAATCCTCTGACCTTCAAAAAAGCATGCCTAAAATTGCTGCAGATCCTTTTCCCAGGTACACAGCTAAGTGGGCAAATTTTCAAAGCAGGGAGCATTTCTATGAACTCTGATGGAGTGCAGTGATAACTGCTGCAAATTATCACCCAACATGCATTTAGCAACTTACATACACAACTGGGTTCTGAGAAAAAGTTTGCTATTAAATGTGATTAATATCTACCTAATCATTAATATATAATAACTCTCATCATATACTAGGAATCCTAGATTTCCCATCATTAATTAGCCTACAGAAGTCATGACCAGAAGATATCACTAATGGCAACAATTAAATATGATTCAAATATACATGAATAATGAAAATGTTCACAATATTATTGCACAGTAAACTATTTCATATGAATCAGGGAAAAAAAAAAAACCAAAACAAAACAAAAAACCACAAAAAACTAAACAAAAAAAACCCAACTATATTGTAGCATCAGCCATGTATTGGGTAACAGGGGTTAATCAGAAGCTTCCTCAGCTGGCTGACTGTTTCTTGACCGCCCGTTATGGATTTATTTCTCTCTCTTCCTTCCAAGGGTGATGTGCTGGCCTCTCCACTCCGGACTGCTGTGCTGGACAGACCAGTTAAGGTATTTGGCAGTTTACAAGTGACTATTAAATTACCCATGCATATTTTTGACCTAGTTATAAAATATAATCACTGGGTAATATCCAGGAGAATGAAGAAGACTGATAATAAATTGCAGATCCCATGTCACTAGTTCAAAAATTCAACCCTGACAGCAAGCTAGGCTAATTTTCTCACAGTTGTTTTCACAGCCTTTTTAACCTGAAGGAGCAGGGAGTGGCAGAGCATGCATCCCTGCACCAGAGCTGGGCAAGCAGGCTGCCCCATTGACACCAGGACTGTCTGCTCCACAGCACCATTGAAAGAAATGGAAAGTTCTCCTTTGAACAAACACTCTTGAAGATATTTCATAATTCAGCATCAATTGGAAATGGGGATGGGGTTCAGAAAAAAAAAAGATTGCTTTTTGTTGTTGTTGTTACTCTTCTGCAAGTTTTATTACTCTAGCATTGTCCAAATATTTCCAGTTTTGCACCAGCTTTGGGATTTTTTTTCATACCTACATCTTTATCTTTCCACAAGTAAAATGGAAAGAAAGAAGAGGTAAAGAAGTGAAAAACAAAGTTTTATTGATTTTTTTTTCCAAGAAAAACCCAACCTTCCCAGCAAAATTTTTTGTTTCCCTCAAAAATTCTTCAGTGATCCTTGTGGGCAGCTCTTCTTACAAGTATTGGGTTCCCAATGAAGAAGAAAGTAAAAGCTTACTGCTGTACCAAAAGCAATAGGACACTAGAGAATCTCCCATCCACCAAATTCACTTCACAGGTCACCAGGGTGTCCCGATGCCTCCACTGCTGCAGCTTAAGTTTCTCGTGGACACAATAATGCCAAGACCTATGTTTTACCATCCTGCCATAAAATGTCACTCCTGCAAGTGAAACCCCTGCTAGCAAAAAGCAGTGTAGCCTCCCATTCAAACACTGCTATTTTTGCCAAGTGTGAACACAAAAATTTGCTTTGAACTCTCCCATGTCTGCCCTATTATTCCTTTCCCACTCTTTATGAAATTCAGACTTCATTTTCTGTGTGACCTACATTATGTCTCATGTTTCTGCTTCCAAAGAGCATGGCCCAGCACAAGCAGCAGCTCACTTTGGCAAACAGCAGATGATAGAGCACACCTCCTTCCCAGTGGGAAGGGCCCCTCTCCCACCATGGAAATGGTCCAGCTGTAGCCAGAAGAGGTTTCTGCAGTGAAAGCAGCCAGCACGCTCTGAGCTTACTGCATCACCATTGTACCATGGTGTAGACAACACTGCTAAGCGCTGAGCAGTGAGAGGGGTGAGTGCCACTACAGCTGAAAGCCCCATCTCAGCAGGGCATTGTCCTCTGCTCAGTGCTGGAAGAGTCCCAGTGCACAAGCCCCCACAGCCACCTCTGCTGATGCTCAGAGATAAAGATGCCATCATGCATCTGCTTGAAAAGGGAGAGAACTGCCCTCTGACAAGCTGTTAAAAGGACTAAAATTTTGACTATGTATAGCTTTCTCTGTAGTTTGAGACTCAAATCATGTTAATTCTGTCACAGACATGGGGCAGAAGAAAGAAGACAAACATGAAACCAGGAAGAGGCTCAGTAGAAAGGAAGAGATGTCAAAGACAAACATTAATAAGATTTGTACACACAGACTTCAAACCTATTCAGGCTAACTAATGTGATACTCTGTATGAACAGTCTTGCTCCAGTTCAAGAGTGCCTTTGTCCACTTTAGTTTAAATTTGTTCCAAATCAGCTAATGCAAAGCTGAGATAAACCTGGATTAAATCAAGACTGGAATGTACAGAGGACTACTTGGAAATTGTTTCCCAAGGCACATGCTTACTTCAGCTGGCTGAAGCACTGATATATGTGATGGTGTTTCAGGATGGAAAGTACATATTAATAGAAAAGGCATATGAACATCTAATTTAATGTAGGGGTCATTTTGGAAGACCTTTATTCGGTTGTATTTTTATAAAGCATTTAATGAGACTGCAATCCTTGAGAAATACTATAACCAAGAAAAATACTAAATGATAATAAAATGATGGCAATATTGAATCTAGATGAGAACAAAGAGCTGCATGCAGTCTGAATGGTAGAGGATCAAGAAAGGACCTGTTTTTTTTATATAATTTTCATGCTAAAAAAAGCCCCAGATATTTTTCCCCTTAATAACCAGGATTTCCAATATAGTAGAACATGCCAGGGAAAAATTACATCCTGAAGGACTATGGGTGACTACAAGTCCTCAAAGATCAGATAAGTAACTCATAGCCCAGGGGCTGGGGAAGACAGACTTTCTGGAACCCCCTGGCAGGGACCCATGACCACTCATGCCAATGCCCAGAGAGACTAGATCACTCAGCACTCTGGGTGCACGCTGCCCAGCTGCCCAGTCTGATGTAGGCAGCTTGCACTCAGCTCCAATTCACAGGACTCATAACCTATGTCTGATGAAGTTAATGGCCTGATTTCATTTGAAAATGGAGTTGTGTTGTCTCAGTTGCAAAACATACTTCCATTTTTTTGACCTTCATTTCAGTGCTGCAAGACATGTTGTTCATATCATCAATCCTTCATGGCTATTCCTATGCCCCTGACCTGTTTGGTATTCATTCCACTTGTAAAGAATAACAATAATTTTAGGTATCTTCAGTACAAGAAACAAAAATCCCAACTATTAGTTATTTCATTTTAAGTTAACTTTGTTCCAGAGTTAATACTGAAAT